AGCCAGTGCCGCCTATCAGTGCCTGTCAGTGCCACCTATCAGTGCCAGTCAGTGCCGCCTAACAGTGCCAGTCAGTGCCACCTATCAGTGTCATGTATCAGTGCTGCCTTTCAGTGCGCATCAGTGATGCCTGTCAATGCCCATCAGTGCCACCTACCAGTGCCTCCTCATCAGTGCCCATCAGTGCCACCTATCAGTGCCCATCACTGCAGCCTCATTAGTGCACATCAGTGAAGGAGAAAAATCACTTATTTACAAAATTTTATAACAAAAACTAAGAAAAAACTTTTTTTTTTTCAAAATTTTCAGTGGTTTTTGGTTTGCTCAAGAAAAATAAAAACCCAGACGTGATTAAATACCACCAAAATAAAGCTCTATCTGTCACAAAAAAATGATAAAAATTTCATATAGGTACAGTGTTGCATGACCGTGCAATTGTCATTCAAAATTGACAGCGCTGAAAGCGCCTGTGCAGGAAGGGGGTATAAGTGCTCTGTAGGCTTGTGGTTAAAGATGAAAAATTCCTGCAAGGCACTCCAGGGAAAATATGTTTATAGCACATCACAGTAAGGTCTTCCTTTATCTGTGTCCCACTGGGGGAGATTTACCCTAATTTCCTGCGTAAACACAACAGAAGGTGAGAGGAAAATTCTTCAAAATGAAGACAAAAAACAATATTTTTTACTTTCTGCTATAAAACATATCTAATATTAAAAAAATTTAAATCGCATTTCTTCATACATTTTGGCAAAAATGTATTCTTCTACACGTCTTTGATAAAAAAAAACAATCCCAATAAGTATATATTGATTGGTTTACATGAAAGTTATAGTGCCTACAAACTATGGCATATACTGAAATTTTTTTTTATACTACTAATGGCAGCGATCAGCAACTTATAATGGGACTGCAATAGTGCGACAGGCGATCTGACACTAACTGACTGTGGAGGGGAAATGACTAACTACCACAGACATCACCAGTGACAATAATATAGTTATCAGTGATAATACTAGACACTGTCACTGCACTAATGACATTGGCTGGAAGAGGTTAATATCTAGGGTGATTAAGGGGTTAAATGTTTGCCAAACTATGTGTAATATGCGTAAAGTGTGCTGCTTTTTACTAATGATCTCTTATAAAGCAAGGAAGAAAAACAGAGAGATCATTCCCTCTAAACATGCCCACCGACATGTCCGCACCCGCAGAGCACTCGCCACAATCTGACATTTGCGGTGATGTCACCAATTGTGCTATGTTTGGCCAAAGCAATGCTCCTGACCTGTGGTCAGGTGCATTGATTTGGCCAATCATGGCTGTCACAATGCACAGTCAAAGAGCCCGCCGAACGCCCTTACTGTTCATGTGCTTGGCAAACACACAAAGAGCCAATGTTCAAGTTGAACATACGTTCAACTCCAACATCACGCCCATCCCTACTCCAGAGTTATCTACATTGAAGAACAGACAGGCATACTCCTCTGAGGAGCACAGAGAGGATGCCTACTCATAGAGAAGGTGAACACCATTTCAGAGGCAGCCAAAGGAGGCAAGAACACCATGCTTGTGCTGGAGGTGTCAAGTTGGGCCATCTTCAGAGAAACTGCCCCAACCTTACACAGAGAAAGTCAATAAACTAGAAAACTCTGCTGCCAGGAATCAAGAAGGACAAAGGCAAAGTAGAACTACCCCCATCCAGTTAATGAAGATGGGGATCAAGAAGCTGATAGGTTTAAATTATAGAATTCACCAAAGAAAGACCTAAGAGTAGGCCTCAGGAGAACCTCATCCATTAATGGGAAAAGTGCAACTAGGCGGAGAGAGGATCCAGTAGTTTCTCCCTAATAGAGGTGATACAATTAGAGCACTGGTCCAGTCTCAGAGGAAGATCAAAACTACTACCAAAAAGCACCAAACTGCTAAGTGAATGGTTCAGTCTCATATTGAGGTATGGTATATTCTACTGCAGAATAAAAATTCCTTCATTACTCGTCAGTGGCCTGGCAGATTTTACCGTCAAAAGCCCACTGGGCTGTTTACAATATGTTCACCTGGTTCATGAGACAAGCCATGTGCATGGGTCTGCAGTATTTAATTGAACAATTCTGCCAATACTGTGTGGTCTTCTCAGTGTAGAAGGGTGCTGAGGCAAGAAATAAACCTTTCACTTAGCACAAGTCTGTCTGCCCCATTGGAATTACCATGGACTTTCTTACACTCAGCATATCAGAAGATAGATACCAATCATGTTCTAGTAATGGTGGATCACTTTACAATGTTTGCATTGGCAGTACCAACCTGTGACCAGACCATCAAGACAGCCACACAGAAGGTGTGAAAGCACTTTTGCCTTCCTTATGACTGTCCACAGTAGATACATTTAAACCAGGAACCCTATTTTCACTTACTAGGTATTAAGAAGTCACATACTATCCTATATGACCTATAAGGCAATGGGGTATATAAGATCTTCAAGTGCTAAAAGGCTTAGCTCTTGAAAAATTATTAAACTGAAGTAATAGCAAATTATTAAGCTGAAGTAATAGCAACAAAAAAAAAACAGTGCCAAATAACTAGTTGTACAAATTAACACAGAGTGCCTCCTGCGCTGCCAATGTAACACCAGATAACAAAAAACAGGAGTGGCCGCTTGCACCCAACTACAATACCAGATAGTGAAGTAAAAAAGACAGGGGTGGTGCTGTGCAAATCCTATATATAAAGGTGGATGAGATCAAAGAGAGAGGGGCCTGAGGAAGTCACATGACCCGTGATGTAACGCGTAGGACGGAGGCGTGGTGACATAATTTCCGGCGTGGACAGCAGCCGCCATCTTGCTACACCCATGCAAGTACACCTTGTATGTTCCTTGCTTGTGGGTCTGCAGACCCCATTTGTTTTTTGGATCTCCTGAGAGGCTGTTTGGATGACCATCGTTAGGAGGGGGGATACCACCACCATTGGTATGGTTCCTGGATTGCTGCCAAGGGTACTAATGTGATTAGGAGTGCTCCGCTGAGCGCTACTCTGAAGTGTGTTGACCCTTAGGGGTTGCAGCGTGGAGGTGAGCGTGAATGCTAGCCAGTGCCGGATTCATGTGTTCGAGTGATCACCAGATGCTGTCACCGATCGAATGTACACGGAGTTGATTTTGGACTGTGCACTATTATTTGAGTTCACTTTCTTGGCCCATTTGTTCTATGTCCAATATTGTGTTATCTGTTTATTCACTCACTATTTTGAAACACTCACTTCATTATTTATCACATTGTGGTTTATGTCATTGTGTATTTGTTTTTTGATGATTTCATTGTATTTATGATCGTGTGTATGATTTATTTTTATTTTTTATATATTTTTTGTTTATTCACATAAGTGAGGTTGAGTTTTGATACACCTCTTTAATCTCATCCACTTTTATATATAGGATTAACGCAGCACCATCCCTGTCTGTTCTAGTTGTACAAATTATAAGCAGCTGCCCCAAATGTGTGTGTATACACAATGCAATTTTTTCTATAATATGAAAAGCAGTGCTGAATGTACCTCCAAAAATAAAAAGCTAAGTAATATAAGTGTGTCAATATAAACATACAATATCTCCCAGAAGTAAAAAATGCACCAGTATAACTATTGCAATATCTCCCAAAAAAATAAATCTAAAATTTAAATACCAATCATACAAAAATGCAACAATGTGAATATGCAATAATTCCCAAGTAAAAACCAAATCACATAATGCAATGCATGGGAAATTCATGAATATAAAGTGTAAATAATTAAAGTGCCAAAACAAGTGTCCATATATGTGTATGACAAATGTATCCACAATTTCGGATGTGCTTCACTTGAACCTTGAATTCATGTTCACTTAAATGAATAAAAATAAATAAATACGTATAAATACAATATGCTCCACCCAAAACTTAAGTTTTAAGTGTGCTCCACACCAGCTCAGAATTGCATTAAGGGTCTTATTCACAGTGAAAAAAGTGATTGTGCTGTTGTGGACCCCCTTGGAGAGCTCTCACCAAAATTAATGGACCTTAAATTAATAATTAACAAAGCACATGAATTCAACATACAGGTGAAACTCGAAAAATTAGAATATCGTGCAAAAGTTCATTTATTTCAGAAATGCAACTTAAAAGGTGAAACTAATATATGAGATAGACTCATTACATGCAAAGCAAGAGAGTTCAAGCCGTGATTTGTCATAATTGTGATGATTATGGCTTACAGCTCATGAAAACCCCAAATCCACAATCTCAGAAAATTAGAATATTACATGCAATCAATAAAACAAGGATTGTACATAGAACAATATCGGACCTCTGAAAAGTATAAGCATGCATATGTACTCAGTACTTGGTTTGGGCCCCTTTTGCAGCAATTACTGCCTCAATGCGCCGTGGCATGGAAGCTATCAGCCTATGGCACTGCTGAGGTGTTATGGAAGACCAGGATGCTTCAATAGCGGCCTTCAGCTCTTCTGCATTGTTCGGTCTCATGTCTCTCATCTCTCTCTTGGCAATGCCCCATAGATTCTCTATGGGGTTCAGGTCAGGTGAGTTTGCTGGCCAATCAAGCACAGTAATCCCACGGTCATTGAATTGGGTTTTGGTGCTTTTGGCAGTGTAGGAAGGTGCCAAGTCCTGCTGGAAAATGAAGTCAGCATCTCCATAAAGCTCATCTGCGGAAGGAAGCATGAAGTGCTCCAAAATCTCCTGGTAGACGGCTGCGTTGACCCTGGACTTAATGAAGCACAGTGGACCAACACCAGCAGATGACATGGCTCTCCAAAAAAACACAGAATGTGGAATTTTCACACTGGACTTCAAGCATCTTGCAGTGTGTGCCTCTCCATTCTTCCTCCATACTCTGGGTCCTTGGTTTCCAAATGAGATGCAAAAGTTGCTCTCATCAGAAAAGAGGACTTTGGACCACAGAGCAACAGGCCAGGTCTGTTTTTCTTTAGCCCAGGTAAGACGCTTCTG